TTCCAACTGTTCCCACAGGTGCCCAACCTGATGCCCAGGGGAGCCCAGGTGAACGGAGTTCCCTTTTTTCTATCATCTGGAGAGTGGGGACATCCTGGGTGACACCAAGACAGAGGCTACTCTGGACCTGGAGCAGGGCCCGCACATCCTTTATGTAGATAAGAGAAGATCACTGACCTTGAACTATCTAGACCTAACCTTATGACTTACTTGTGACCCCACATGACCAGCAAATAACAAGATTCACATACCACGTGACATCACTGACCCAAGAGCCTTCATCTTCCTGTACTAGATGTCATAGTCTAACCCAAGGGTTGCCCTAAAAATACTGGGCACTGGATCCCTGGCTTCAGGGTGGCCTATCCAAGCCAAATGCCTCCTGGTAAGAAGGTCTCTGTGGAAAAGGGCTGTGGAAATCCCAAAGGGAAACGTTTTTCAGCATGATCTGGGGTGTGGAGGGTTTTATAAGGTTGGGTACACAGGGTGAGATGTGGACCCCATGACAAGGAGAAGGAAGACCAAATGTGATGTCATTTGTGCCCTCCACTCTGTCCAGCTTGTTTCCAAAGAATGTGCTCCCCAAGTGTGCAGGACTTGGTCTCCCCAACACCTCACCACAACAAAGGGTAGATGTTGGATGCACAATTGCATAATTAGCCCAGGAGATCAGGCTCTTAATTGTCCTACAGAAATGTAATGGGACCTGCATGTGCAATTCTAAATTTTTAGTAACCATATGATAATAATTTGAAAAAGTAAAATTATTTTTCATAACACATTTCATTCAACCTAATATATCCAAAATGTTATCACTGCTTGACATATAATTAATATTTTCAAAATATTGATGAGATGTTTTACATTATTTTATTCATATTAAATGTGCACTACCCGGCATGCATTTTACATTACAGCACACGGCTCACTGCATTTCAAGGCTCACGTGCTGGAAAGGCCTCACGTGGTCGGTGGTTTCCTTATTGGCCTATGCTGATCTGGGTTCTTGGTTTCTCTAAATCAAAGGTACAGGCAATCATCCACAGGTATGGGCAGCATTCCAGGCAAAAGGATAGTTCAGGGAAGGGACACCACCAAGAAGGTGCTGTGGGGAGGGCTCCAGCCAACTAAAAACATTCCCACCACTGTTTCTTAAGTGCCTGCTCAGGACAGGGCTTTGTCACAGCCTTGCCAAAGGCTAGAGGGAGCCCTTGCTCTCCTAAACCCCGAGCCCACCTGAGCTGCCCAACGCTAGACTCTCTCATCCAGCACTTACGACACAGTTGGAGGAGAAAAGTGGCCATGAACAGCCTTTTCCTATGGTCTGTAATTATCATCCCAACACACTGTCCCTTTACAGAAAAAAGCTGCATTTTTAAATATTTTCATCTATGAAAGACCTTTCTGTATTCCACTTGAAAATGCTGCTTCCACATACACTACAATCTCCTTTAATACTTCCAGTAACTCTGACATAGGCGTTTTATTCCCTTTGCTCCAAAACAGAAAGTAAGGCTTAGAGAAGTGTTGCAACTCTGCCGAGAGAATGGGGGGAAGAAAAGACTGTTTCTATTGAAATCCCATCCATCCATTTTCCCCTCAGTGAGGTCCCTTAAGGGAACCATGAAAACCATTGTGTGATGGAGACTTCAAACCCTAGATGCCTGAAGTAAAAGCAAGTAAAACATCCTGGTGGCAGCTAAAGCCCACAGCAAGCCCTGGAGTTCAAAAACTGGGCCAGCTCCTGGCTGTGACACTAGCTGTATAATGTGGGGCAGGGCAATTCCTAGTGATAATAATAACTGGATTTACTGACCTTCTCCCCTGTACCAGGCTCTGACTCCACCAATTCTTCATACACTTTCTCCTCCTCACAAAAAGATAATCCACTTATAGATTTGGAAATAAATGAAGGCTCAAAAAAAAAAAAAAAGTAAATAGGCAAACGTCATACATCCTGTAAGCAGGAAAGCCAGAATGATATTATTAAAAGGAAATGTATCTTTTATAATATAACCTTAACCACACCCATCCACATTGCATATTTACAAAAAAATTGCTAAAGAATTTGAAGATCATCAATGTACACAATAAACAATGATAAATACCTGTTACAAATCTATAAGTTTGCAAAATACGTACAAATAGGAACTAATTTCAATGTGCTTCTTTAAATACAAAAATAAAATCTTTCTTATTCATCTGCAGTGTGTAGTATCTTGTCAAAACAATGGGGGGAAACCCGGGTTTTCAAAAGAGATAGTTATATTTATACTGTTCATCCCCAGGGGAGGTTGTAACCATCCCAGGAGAAGGAAAAGATGCTTTGAAAGTGTAAAGAGGTGACAAATGTCAGGTATTACAAACACGCCAAAGCAAACTACAGTTATAGGCTAATATGAAATGTAGACAAGAGAAATGTCCTAATCTTCATTACAAGTCTGAAATTTAAAAAAAAAAAGAGTAAAAAATATATAACTATAAAGAAATGGAGAGAAAATGAGAATGAAAGAAAGATAAATGATGAAGCAAAAATAAAATAGCTGACTTTCTCAAAGAGAACAGAGGGAGAGAGAGAAGGATGGGGAGGGAGAGAGAGTGGAGGAGAAAGGAGGAAGAAAGAGAAAGCAGAAAAGGAGAGGGGGCAAGTGCCATGGAAAGTAAGCCCAATTGGCGAGGTCAGGCAGTTCCTTCAAGAAATAAAGAAACTGGCCATGACCCCCTTAGAGCTAAGGCTGGGTACAGTTGTTGCGACTGTTTAGAGAAATCTAGTGCCCTTCCCGCCATTAATCTTTTCTAAAGAAAGACTTTGTTCTGCACCTGTATAAACAATTCAGATTTTAAAAACCTATATGCCTGTGCCTAATGTGTGAGACTATGTACTTATACTGATAGCTTCGAGTCATCAATAGGCGATGCAAAAAGCTAACCTGGATCTCCCCCCCCCCTCCACACATCGTTTCGCTCCCCCTTGTCTCTCTTTCCTCCTTTGCCTGGCAAAGCACTCCTACAGTCAAGTTCAAGTTCAAGAAAGATTTCCATGCTCTGTCAAATACTCCCTGCATTTTCTCTGCCCGGAGAGAAGGGAGAGCAAATGATCTTTTTACTCAACTTGTCCCAGAATGAGCCCATCCCCACCCCACCCCCCAACCAAAAGACAAAATGTACAAGAAAAAAATCTTTGCATATGGGGGTGAGCGCAGGAGGGGCTGTGTGAAACATCCCCCATGAGGGAGGCTTGTCCTGGGAAAAGAAGGTGGAATGATGCCTGAGGATGAAGTCAGCCCCGCCAGCCACCTGTCGCAGCACTTCAGGCACTGAGCAGGGGCATTTGTTCTGCTGCAGGAACGGTCACAGCAGGGCAGACCCATCAGCTTCTGCCAGCTCTGCCCTGGGCTGACTGCACACTGGTCCCCTTGCACCTTGCTCAGCGAAGAAGCCTGTCGACTTTCATGGAAAGGTCAAGTTAACACCTAAACTGGGTGGGAAGACACAGTCTCCTCTCTCTGTAAAACAGAGTAACCATATCTCAGTATCTTAGGGGGTCTATTTCTCAATGGGCTATTCACAAGTACAGTGACTGCCACACAGCAGGCACTCAGTGGCTGGCCATTGAGGTCCATTTCCATAAGGAAGTACGGCATCCTCTGACCATGAGTTCCAAGAGCGGGTCTAGTTTCCCTTGGGGGAGGGGCAAAATGTTCTAGTTTGGGTTGGAATGAGACCTAATAATTCTGGTGCTGTTTTTGTCAGGATTTTTTTTTTCTGTCCTTTTTTTTTTTTTTCTTTTTCCTTTGGGCTCACTAAGCATTCTAAAGCCAGGAGTTTCCTCTTCAGTACACAACCTACAACAACAATGAATTCTCTACCGTATACTCAAAGCATTAGGGTGAGATCCCATTGTGTCATTAAAAACAAAACCATGAACTCTACATACTGGAAAACACCAGATACAACATCCTGCGGAGTGTGGCCAGGAGGCGTACAGCAGACTAGAATACCTATGGGCCAGGATTTCTAAACGCGGATTTTGAATCTCCTTTCTACTTACCAGCCTGGTGAGTTTGGGTCTTTTACTTAATATCTATCTACAAATTCAGCTTCAAGTTCTGCAAGGTATAAACAATAACATTTAAATTACAGATTGTATTTGACGGTGAAACAAAGTATTGCAGATAGAAGTGTTTCGTAAATCATAACACTACCTTAAAGGAAAAGAAGAAGGAGAATGAGAGGTGTCTATTGTGCATTCTGGAACGTTTGCTTGTTTCACTTTTTCTCTTTCCTCGGGCAAGCCCTGGATGCTGATCACACATGATGAGTGATGAACTTGAACTGAGTTCTTCGAAGAAGACTGGGAGAGAAGCAGAAGTTGGAATCCTGGTGTCTCTAGGAGTCGGGCAATCTTCACCACCTCTAAGATGAGTAGGGTTGGGAGATTTAGGGAATGGAGTGGGGGTGAAAGAAAGCAGGGTGGGTGAGAACGAGCTCTTAGCTCTCTCCCTCTCAGATCCATACTTATCCCGAACTGACATCCTGAAGGTCGATTGGGCCTCAGTGGCCAAATCTCAGCTTTGCCTAGGCGTCCTGGGCCCCTGCCCCCACCAACCACTCCTCTGCAGGCAGAAAAGAGGTCCCCACCCTTTCCACGCCCCTGCCCCACCTCTGTCCCCCTTTCTAACCCCCTCTTCTTTGCCCAGGGTGGTTTGTTCCAAGGACTACAGATAAATAGTCTGGTCAGAAGGCGCAGCTCTGGGTTGTGCGCGCAGAGCTGGGGCTTGGGCGCCAACTTCTGGGCCGCGCTCGGCGGGGTCGGTGGCGGGGTGTGCTCGCTTTCACCGCCCACCTCGAATTCCGGCCTCCGCGCCTCTCGGCTCTGGTCTGCGGTCCTCCTCGGTGCTCCCCTTTCCCTCCGCCTCCGCCAAGGAGCGGAAGGCGGAGACGGCGAGGCTGGCTAGGGCGGAGGAAAGTGGACACGCGTGGGCGCGGAGAGCCACGAGATGTCCACGGGTTCGGTGAGCGACCCAGAGGAGATGGAGCTGCGGGGGCTGCACCGGGAGTACGCGGTCCCCGCCTCCAAGAGGCCGCCTCTCCGCGGCACGGAGCGCAGCTATGTCTCGCCCAGTGACAACTCCTCTGCGGAAGAGGAGGACCCCGACGGCGAAGACGATCGGTGCGCTGTGGGCGCAGCCGGCGGCGCCCGAGGCTGCAAGAGGAAGCGGCCGCGCGCCGCTGGGGGCGTCGGCGCAGGTGGCGGCGCGGGCAGTGGAGGCAAGAAGCCCCTCCCGCCCAAGGGCTCGGCGGCGGAGAGCAAGCAGTCCCAGCGGAACGCGGCCAACGCCCGCGAGCGCGCCCGGATGCGCGTGCTGAGCAAAGCTTTCTCCAGGCTCAAGACCAGCCTGCCCTGGGTGCCCCCCGACACGAAACTCTCCAAGCTGGATACTCTCCGACTGGCTTCCAGTTACATCGCGCACCTGCGGCAGCTGTTGCAGGAGGACCGCTACGAGAACGGCTACGTGCACCCGGTGAACCTGGTAGGGGCGCAGTGCCGCGGACCCCGGCGAGGGCCAGGAGATGCCCAGGGAGCTCCTGGGCGTCGGCCGGGTGGGAAGAATCCGAAAGGGGTTGGGGTTTGGGGACGCGGGACGAGAAAGCTATTTCAGTTTGGCTCAAATCAAGGGAGGGGCCAGCCATTTCCCTGGAAAGAACCATCCACCCCTCTGTGTTGGCCTCATTCTTATCATTGTACTTGGTGCGGCTGGTAGTGACAGCCACCCCATCGGCTAACATCCTATTTCCGGGATAAATCCTGGTTCCAACTGTTATTCAGTGGCAGATTGAATGGCAGATCTCCCTCGCCCAATTTCTTCCAGTTAAGAGTCTGGCAGGTTCGAATCTGCAGGCCTTGGTCTCTTAAAGAAAGAGGGAGGGCCGAGCTCTAATAACTAGCGCCTTTGGAGACTTTCATTGCGGCAGGATAGCAAAGTTTTCCCAGGCGGGATTTGTCTGGAAAGTCCCTCTCTGACCTGCCAATTCTCCCAGCTTGGGAAAGATCTTATCCAAGCCCAGTTCCTAGCGATAGTGGATGACTGGTTGTGTGTGTGTGTGTGTTGGGGGAAGGAAATTACACAACAAAATTCCAAACTCATGTAAGTGTCACCAAATTCTAA